AACCACTGAGCAATGCCGGTTGGGCAGGGATGGTATTTTAAATGCCTAAATTTCCAAAGTTAGTGTTCAGAGAACATCATCATTACAAGTTATTTCTTCTAATTCAAATAAAGGACTCTGCTCAGTAAAAAGGAGTTTCATCACATGCAGTCATTATTTAGACAGATTCTGTTCTAGAGTTTTGACTATAACACCAATTTAAATGTGAAACATTTAAGTAACAAAAATGCTATTTTTCTCCAAAAAGTAATTGGGTTGTCTATTTTCTTCACTGAATTCATTGGACAGCATAAAAAGAACTTATTAATAGGGGGTCAAGCAAGTTGTAAGTATCTGTCCTTAGAATGCTTTCACGTCATCATGGCTGCCAGGAAGACGACTGTGGCAGAATCCAGTGCATTGGGAAGGAGTGGACTGGAATGAGAATGACAACAGTGGCACCATTCAAAGCCTTGCTTTGCTTCTGCAAAACTGTGACTCAAAAGGATAAACTATATTTCAAAATATTAGAACAGATAATATAGCTGGTGTATGAGAAGGCCAGCGCACTAGGTGAATGATGAGATCCAGGTGGCTGATGGTGCGAGCCCAGTGAGAAGGCAGATAAAGTCTCAGTGGGAGAGAAGCAAATAACAAAACTCCTTACTTTGGTGGAGCACTTTCAGAGTTTTCTGCACACTTCTATGTATTTTATCTAAGTGGGACCTGACTTCCATGAGATTAAATATGATCTTTATTCTTTCAGTGCAAGTGAAAGATTTAGGGAGGTTATGTGACAACGATAACGAGAAAGGGGCAGAGATTCAAACTTGAGTCTTATTTCAGGTTTCGCACTCTGTTCACTCCCTTATGCCTACTATGCAGAGTCCATTGGCGAGATTTAAGGAAAAATTTAAAACATCTTGAGCTTGAGCTTTCTTGAGAGATGATTTAATTTACAACTTATTCAATAAATTGCTTCCTGGAGTTCAGAGGAGTAAACATATGGACAGAACTCTTAAACCTCCTTGCCAAACAGGTCTCATCTTTCTTATTCACAAAATGGGAAGTTTGTCTAGATCTGTGCTTCTCAATATTAGCTTCACATTGAAACTACTTTGGGAGATTTTAGACCTCCCTAAGTCCAGGGGCTACCTCCAGAGATTCTGATTCCATTAGCCTTGGGCCGAGGTGGGTTTCATTAAAAAAACAAACAAACAAACAAAAACAAAACAAAACACTTTCCAGGTGATTCTAAGATGCAGCCAAGACTGAGAGTCACTGAAATGGAAGATGTGGGAGGCCTTCTTCCACATGTCAGTGTGTTGCCAGGATTTATGCCAGTGATGGCGAACCTTTTGAGCTCAGCGTGTCAGCATTTTGAAAAACCCTAACTCTGGTGCCGTGTCACATATAGAAATTTTTTGATATTTGCAACCATAGTAAAACAAAGACTTATATTTTTGATATTTATTTTATATATTTAAATGCCATTTAACAAAGAAAAATCAACCAAAAAAAATGAGTTCGCATGTCAGAGGTGTCATAGGTTCGCCATCACTGATTTATGCAATAGCTCTGATGACCCATGAATTCTTCAGAATGAAACTCACATTTTATTACTCATTTTATCCTGTATTGGTTCCTGGCTAGAATTTAGATCTAGTTCTCACTGAAGAGATTGTGGAAACTAGAGCATTCTTCAGCTGGACTATATGTCATCCAGTTAAAACTCTCTGAGGGATGTAGTAGTGCGAGAAGCGGCAGGCAGCCGCTCCCGCTCATCCCGGCCCTGCTGTGCCTGCCTGCCACCTTCGCTGCTTGGTAGCGCTGCCGGGGAGGCGGGAGAGGCTCGCACTGCCGCAGCTGTGCTTGCCAGCCATGAGCCCTGCATCTGGTGCCCGTAGGTCAGCTGAGCGGAGCTCCCACTGTGGGACCGCACTGACCACCAGGGGGCAGCTCCTGCATTGAGCGTCTGCCCCCTGGTGGTCAGTGCACATCATAGCGACTGGTCAACCGGTTGGTCCGTTGGTCGTTCGGTCGCTAAGGCTTTTATGTATATAGATATTTATTGAATTTTAAATAATAGCAGGAAGTGAACATTTTATCTCAATACTTTAAAAGATGCAGTATTGCCGAAACCGGTTTGGCTCAGTGGATAGAGCGTCGGCCTGCGGACTGAGGGGTCCCGGGTTTGATTCCGGTCAAGGGCATGTACCTGGGTTGCGGGCACATCCCCAGTAGGAGATGTGCAGGAGGCAGCTGATTGATGTTTCTCTCTCATCGATGTTTCTAACTATCTCTCTCCCTTTCTCTCTGTAAAAAATCAATAAAATATATTTTTTAAAAAAGATGTAGCATTATACTCATCTTTTAAAATTTTATTAAATTTATTGGTATGACACTGGTTAATAGATTATGTAAGTTTCTTGTGTATAATTCTAAAATGCATTATCTTTATATTGCATTGTGTGCTTACCACACACAGTGTAATCTCCCTCCATCACCGTATGATTGCCCCCTTTTCCCTCATCTTTTTAGAGGGACAATAATATCGCTGAACTGATCATTTTGTAGATAAAACTCCACAGCCTGGAAACAGTACAGTTATAAGTCTCAGCTAAACAGACGTACTTTCTTCAATTCTCGGTTACTTTCCTCATCACTTCATTGGTCACTGAACTATCTTTTTTTCTGTTTCACAGTCATCTTCTCAGAAGGTTGCCTGACCTTGGATTAAACACTTGAGTTGCCACAGGTTGGTGTTGGGGGTGACCTTTTAGTGGAACTTTCAGTACAGAGAAGTAAAGCAGAATATCATGTTCCCAGTAAGGTAAAATGTCACCATCCTTTTCCAAGTCACTAAGAGGTCAGAGGTAATGCCTTTAAAGCAGACTCACCTAACCAGGGCCCTCTTAAACTCTGGAATAAGATCAATTTGCTTCTTTCACAGACACTTGCTTCTCTAGTGGCTGTCTCTTTATTGAAAAACATAAACTAGAGGGGAGAAAAATGATGAGAGAAAGTACCAAGAGCAGCTGCAATAAAAGAGAATAAAATATAATATTTCAGATGGCAGGTGCTTTGGTAATTTCTCTTCATCTTTTATTCTCCAGGATTCCAGAGATAAATATAGGGAAATTTATTATTTCCACATTATTCCTACTAACTAAACCTACTCTGTCATTCTTTAGTTGAATTAACCAAAATCATGATTTGCCACTCTAATAAAAAGAAATTATACTGGTTAGAGACATCCAGTGGTATTGAACTAATAAATAATCTGTCCTTGGAAAAATCATTTATATTTTCTGTGCCTCAGCTTACTCACCTAGCACTGATAATCTCTAGAGTCCCTCTTAAGTCCTACAAGCTTATGATTCCATGGATTTTCTAAGGAAAAGGAGAAATATATTTTCCCTTCATCAGGCAGGCCTTTATGATTTCTATTATCATAACTGCAAAGTGAGGTTCAGTGTTTATCTTTGATATGAATCTTTGTATTGGATTACATAAGTGAGTTTTTATAAAATAAAATGTTTATAAAAACAAATTCTTTAAAAAAAGCAAATGTTTACAAAAATAAATTCTTCCATTGATTGTCTCCCTGCATTACCTTCAGTTGTTAGCTTTCTTCTCAATAGATGGTGCTGTTTTCTCAGAGACGCTACTTACTCCTCATCAAAAGATCAGGGAAATTAGTATCACTCTTTAATAATCATTAATTAAAGAAACCAGCCCTCTAAGTAGAAAGACTCGATTACAAGCAGTATGCAGTACCTAGATAATGAAAGCATAATGGGGAAAATAAACTGTTAAGCGATAAAGGAGGCCTGCTGAAACCTGCAATATTTGCTGAATAGATGGAGCAAATATTGTAGCCAAACATAAAAATTCCATGTTCATTACATACATAGAACACATAGGACCCCGAGTAGGAAGAAAATCTTAAATCAGGAACCATTTTAAAGTGTAAAAATAGTGATCCACTTTAACAAAAGTGAATCTGTAGCATTCCGTATTAACATGCATGATTTGAACACACGCATCAACACTAATACAATCGACCTCGATCTCAGTGAATCTTGAGAGCTGGCACACTCCGTGCCAACTCAGCCGGGAGCACCTGGGAAACAGAAAATGGACCTCAAACTCTTTCGAAAAAATATCCCTGGATAAAACCACTTTTCATCTCTGAAGAGCAAACCATTACAACATCCTTTGTAATAGTATCTAATCCAGTTTCATGCTGCTTTTGGTCCCTTCTAACTGGTTGCCCTTTGGAAGCCCTGAAACAGACATATCCTGCACTTTTCCTGAACCCAGTTCGGCTCTGACTGAATCAGCCCCCAGCAGATCCGCAGCTGCTGATTGAAACCTGGCAACACAACCGTCATATTTGTTACAACAAAGCAACACTGTGGAGAGACACAGGAAAACTTCCTCTATGATTGTGGCTGCAGGTAGAAGGAGTGGGGTAAGGGCTGCTATGAGGAGGGAGGCAGGGTGGGGACATGGTGCAGCCGGCTCTACAGAAGCCAGCATGAGCAGGGAAGTTGCCAAGGTTCATCTCTGGAAAGGACTGAGTAGGAGACCTGGCCCCCCAATTAGAGGAAATAAACTAGAATTCTCCCTCCATTACTCACAAATTACTGTTTCCAGAGCTTCTGCCTGAAGAAACTGTGGGAGTGTGCCCAAGAGTCCTCTTGGCTTAGATTAAGGGCGCTCCAAGCTATTTTTTTATTTTTTATTTTTTATTTTTGGCCAGAGCTTCATAGCTTTTACCAAAGCAACTTCTCTGTTTCTGAAATTTTGGATGTTTCTTTATCAGTGGGGGAGGGGGGAATAGAAAAGTAGGCTTTTGCACTCAAACAACCACCCATCTGTTGCCCCCCATTCTCCCCTGTTTACCTCCCTTTTCTCATCTTCCCACCAAACACTCTACCTTGGGGCTCAGGTGTCCCTTTGTGCCCCCCCTTAGCAGCTGAAAGCTCCGTTCGGAGCTCAGGCGCCTTTCTTACCTGACAATCACATACATGACCAGGAAGTTTCCGAAGAGACCCACCACGCACACGATGGAGTAGAGGGCCATGATGGTGACGGCCGTGATCGTGGAAGGGCTGCTGGTCGGAGGGCACAGGCTGTCGCTCCCGCTCAGCGCCGTGCGGTTCGGACCGCACGGGTCGGACAGGTTGCCATCCATGTGGGAGAAGTTGACCCAGGAACCCGGGTTCGGTGCTGCTGGGGCGCAACTTGCAGAGTGCGCGAAGGGGTCAGAGCAGTTGCCGGGGTTCCTGGGGACGGCGCCGCTGTCCATGGTGCTGACCGCCGGCTGGGACCACGTTGGGAGGTCCACCGCGAGCACAGGCACTTTTCAGGAGCTGCGCGCCTTAGCAGCTTCCTCCAGCCGCTGCCAGGGCTCCTGTGATTTCTTAAAGAGCCCAGCCCTGGCGAATCCAGGCAGGAGCATCAGGCAGAAGGGGAGAACTGAGCATCTGGCGTTTGTTCTCCTCTGCTTGCAGCCCTCTCCCACCACATGAGCACAGGCACTAGTCCCCAGCCCCACACCGCTGGAGGGAGGGGGAGGGAGGGCAGTGCGGGATCCAGAGGCTGGAGGAGAAAGAGGGGAGAGAAGGGGTGGATTTTGCGCACAAGCGATCCAAGGAGTTGTTCTCCGCACTCGGCACTCTGTGCAACACCTCTTAGGAGGGGCAGGACGGAGAAGGGAGTTGGAGGGAAGGCGTGGAGAGTGAGGCAGACAGAGTTAGTTTCTGACGGCAGAAAAGCACAAGAAAGGGGGCTGACATCACTATTTTCCCAGCGCCGGTTTCTCTGTAGACATTGGCCTCAGACAACTGGAGCAGCCCTTACTCCCCAGCCGCTTCCGTCCCTACTGCCTATCGCAATCATTCGGGTGCAGGGGACACAAATCCCTCTTCTCTAGTCTTCCTTCCTGCACATTCACGAACAGGGAACTGTGCCTTTCACATCACCAAATGGGAATTTCCAACCCTGCAAACCTGCCTGAAGTGAGAGTGATTCTTTCTCTGAAAAAGAAATGAGAAACATGCAGTAAACTTCTGTGAAGGAAACCTATTACGTTTCCTCCTTAGTGCCTAGGTTTCTCCTAGAGTAGAAGCTCTAGTTGCATCTGATTTATGTCCGGTGGGGAAGAGGCACCAGGGCTGGTTACAGAAATCTGGGGGTTGGTTGTGGCATCCAGGAAAGTCTACCAAAAATAATGCTTACCCTCCGGGTCTTAAATCTCATAGATCCATTTGGAATTAATTACTCATTTTACCTCCAGACCTCCTGTAGGGACATGTGCTACTCAGGAGAACCGTGTCAAAAACCAAACAGCATTTGAGTTTACTTGGTCTGTTTTCTTGTGTAGAGATTCCAGGAGGAACCTCATAGATATCTTAACTGGAGTGGCCCACGCCTGGTCGAGGAATACTGATACATTTTAACATGTGCTACCTCATTTCCAAGTCCATAAACACTTCTATCTTAGAAATAGATTTGTAAATCAATCAGGAGTAAGGTGGCTGTTTTTATTTTTTGTAAAGTTCAAACTAATTCTCAGGTTATTCTCATTTTCATACATGTGTATATTTGTGTATGTATACATATTTGAACAATAAGTATTGGCACTAAATACTACAAATTACTCCCAACTGGTTGTAGAAAGTCATACTCTCAGGAGCAGAGAGTGGGGTGCGTTAGGAAGCTTGGAAGGAACATTTAATTCTAATACCACTTTTATCATTCTCTGGAAAACAGATAACTCATAGGTAAACTCTGCTTATCATAGGGTACTTTACCAATGTGCAGTATTTTTTAATCCTTTTATATTAAAGGGAATGCCTTCAGCAACAAAAGTCTACAGAGAGCTCCTAGAAACTAATAAAACACCTGACCACATTTTGCCCTATGAACTAATATCAGTTCACTCGCATTGAGCTGAAATCTGTCTGCCATTGTTCAGTCTTTTGAGGACACACAGAATCAGCCTAAGCTACATCACGTGAACAATAAACGGGTACAACATAAATAGCCCTGGCCTTGGAGTCGAATCATTTGTGAATCTAAGATTTGTCACTTTTTAGCTATTTGAGTTTGGGTGTGTTTATTTACCTCACTGGGTGACAGTATTTTAATCAGTAAAAAAAAAAAAAAAAAGATTGATACCTCATATATCTGTTAGCAGGATTAACTGATATACACACTGGAATAATAGCTGTTTAATAAATGATAACTGTTACTATTATTACATTTCATGTATTTGAAAATAACAAAATGTTTTCTTCCACTAGTTAAACATTAGCTTCCTAAGGCTGTTTCTTATACGCTGTAGTTTTGGGTTCTTTCAATGGCTTTGCCTCTTTTCTATTCACATGGCTTATCTATCTGCTCCTACAGTACAGCTCCAGAGCTAAGAACAGTGCCCTAAGTTCGGCCTGACCAATAAAAACTGAGCAAGATTATAAACTTCCTCTTTCTACCAATACAGTTATTGGAAGGTCCCACTTGCCCCTCCCCCTTTTTAAAGCCACATTGCTCTCTTGACTCTCCTTAGAGTGAGTATTGGCAAAATTCCCTAAACATGATCTGGCTCAGTTTGACAATTAACTTATTAAAGATGTACTCTGGACAAGGTGTTGAAGTTTAAAATGATAGATTCAACTGTTTTTGAACACAGGAGCTTGCTTTTTATACCTGATGAGTCATGTTTTTCCTCTCCTATACATTTATGGTTGTTTTGAATTTGGGTGTGTTTATTTACCTCACTGGGTGTTGTCTCAGTACAACAGTAGAGGGTTTCTTATTTTAAAAGTATATCTTGTTAGATGCAGTTCACGGTTCAAATCTAACAAGATCTTTTGGAATGGTGATTGTCATCTTTTCTGTGCATGTTTCCTACTTTATATGTTTTATTTACCTCCCCAGCTTTATACTCTAGAAATAGGTTCCTGAGGGTAGGCCTGTTCACTACCTAAAGCACAGTGGACTCCCTCTTATGTATGTAATTAGATATATAATATTTTAATTTAATTAACACATAATTAGCATATATTAAAATGAGAGCTATGGGCTGAATATTTGTATCCCCCCCAAATATATAAGTTGAAATTCTAACTTCCAATGTGATGGCATTAGGAGATTCCCCCCTCCCCCATTAGGGGGTCTTTGGGAGGTAATTAGGTCATGAAAGTAGAGATTTCATGAATGAAATTGTTTTACTTAGAAAAGAAACTCCAGAAAACTCTCCAGCTCTCTTTCCACTGAGGGTTAATGAGAAGAGAGCAGTCTACAACCCAGAAGAGAGCCCATACCAGAATCGGATGGTGCTAGCATCCTTGTCAGACGTCTAGTCTCCAGACTTTGAGATATAACTTTCTGTGGCTTTGAAGCAACTCAGTTTATGACATTTTGTTATAGAAGCCTGGACTGACTAAGATAATAACATCATCTAAAATAATCTGGGTGATTTTTTAAAAAAACCACTTTTATGAATACTTTAATAACATTTTTAAAAATTCAGTATATTCCACTAATCAGCCAGAACTTAAATGTACCCACAGATAGACTGGCTGTGTGACTTTTCCTCTAGAATTAGTCAAAGAGCAGCCAATTACCATTGCCCTTTACTGGAAACATTATTTTTCAGTCTATTTTATAACAAATACTATTGTATGGATTAGGCATTTGAACTTTGTGCTTCAACTATATATTTTAATTGAAATTTGATGATTTCTTTTTCTATTACCCTTTCTTGAGTTTTATTAGAGATAACTATTTCTCAATTTTCAATGCAGGATTTTCTGAAATTGTTGCAAGTATTCGCTTAAATTGCACTAACATCTATATCTCAGTAACTCACATCTATTCAATGTACAATTTGGGAAAATACAGAACAAATTTAATTTCTCTTTCAAATATCTTAAGATAGCCTTGAGAAACCCAGGGAAGAGCTGTTATAGAAATAACCAATTAATATCACCTAATATATAGTATAAAAGATCTCAAATTGTAGCTTCTATTACATCTTAATTGCCCTATCGGGTGTCTTCCCTTTTCTCCATATTTGCACATTACCTACCAGAGTGATCTCAAGTCTGCTGTGAAATCTCAGGTCTCTTGTGAAAGGAGGTGAACTGTGCATACATGAGTCAATTTACTACAAGCCTAGTTATTTTATGTAAAATAGATTCCAGCCGTATAATGTTTAATTTCCTTTATATGTTATCTAACAGAAATACATGCCTTTTTGTTGATAATTCTTGCTTAGCCTAGATTTTCTATTTGAAAAGCAAAACAAAAATATCTATCAGTCAAAATTTAACATTGATATCAAACCCATATCATACATTTTTTCCCCATAAAATATTTGCTTCAAAGCAATGCAGTTAGTTATAACTAGCATGGAGCAAGGCAACTGCTAGAAGTTATTGCTCTTTCTTAAATTTCAAAACATATTGGCTTTAGTTATTCATGTAATTGCCATCATCCCACACTTATTTTGACAGCTTACTTTTTAAAAAAATCCTCACCCAAGGAGTGAGGATATTTTTCCCCCATTGAGTTTTTGAGAGAACGGAAGGGAGAAGTGAGGGGTAGAGAGAAAAACATTGATGTGAAACAGACACATCGATTGGTTGCCTCCCACATGTACCCCTACTGAGGATGGGGATCGAACCTGAAACTCAGGTATGTGCCCTTGACTGGGAATCAAACCCACAACCCTCCCGGTGTGCAGACCAATGCTCTAACCACTGAGAAACAGCTTACTATTTTTTTATTTTTTTATTTATTTTTGAGACTGGCTCTTAATGGACCACATAATTCACAGCTATTAATGTGGAATATGGACAATGACTGTATCTATTTATTTAAAAGCTACCAAAAATTTTTTTGAAAAGAAAACATTGTTTTCAAGTAGTCTACACATGGTTAGAAAGGAAAACTAAAACAATTATAAAAGTTATCGTGGTCAGAATATGTTTTACTTCTTCTTGTATCCATATAATTGAGACGTGTTACTAAAATTCAAATTGCTTGGCCTTAAGATGTTTGTGTGTATGACCATGCATAAATGAATGCACACACACGCACACACTTAAGCATACATCCATAAAGTAGTTTATATTCATATTGAAAAACCACACTTTTGTGAAACTTTTCATCTGTTGAAGCTCTTCTCTCTTCTCTTTTGCCTTTAGTTCATTTTTTAAAATTTTAATTCCTGTGGCTAGGAGGCCTACATTTCCCTATGTTTTCCAAGCTTCCAAATGCATCATAAAGTTAAGAAATAACCACAGGAATTCTAAAATGATTCCTACAAAGCTATACTTTGGCATAAAAATCACTTATTCCATAGCCACTTCAAGAAAACACAAACATGCACACATACATGCCTTATCCTTTGATTCTCAAGGTTGTTAATTACTCTTTTGTGTTTGCTGTCCCTCATCTGTCTGCTCTTCCATCAAAAGGACAAGGCAGAAATCGTAACATTCAAAAGATGAATAGAAACAGACTCATAGATACAGGGAACAGACTGACAGCTGTCAGAGGGGAGGGGGCTTGGGGAGTTGGCTGAAAAAGGTGAAGGGATTAAGAAAAGAAAACAACAACAACTCATAGACACAGACAACAGTATGATGATTACCAGAGGGAAAGGTGGGAGGTAGAAGAGGGTAAAGGGGGGATAAATGGTGATGGAAGGAGACTTGACATGGGGTGGTGAACACACAATACAATATACAGATGA